TGTTGAGTCATTTCCTACTCATAGTGAACCTGTATGGGGTTTCCAAGGAGCAGCTGGTGAGTTTGGATCACCAACCCTTTAATTCAAACCCTACATGTGGTCCAGTGCTTATCTTACAATGCCACACCACAACTCAAGATATATTTTAAATAAATGAATAAAAGTCCTAGGTGAGTTAGCCTAGTTCCATATTTTTAAGTCTCTGTGTATCAAAATTTACTGTAAAAGGAACCAAGTATTCACCCTTATAATCACATGGTGGTAGCGGTGGTGGTTGAATGCTGAGTCAGTTCCAACTCATAACAACCCTGTATAGGGTTTCTGAGGATGTCATTATCTATAGGAGCAGGAAGCCTCATCTTTCTCCCATGGTGCACCTGGTAGATTCGAACTACTGATCTTATGGTTTGCAGCCCAGCTCAGAATCCACTATGCTACCAGGGCTCCTCTTACAACAACAAAGCAAAAAATTGTGAGAAAAAGTGCTTTTGATTTCCCAGTTGTTGTTATTTGTCGTGGAGTCGGTTCCAACTCATAGTGACCCTATACAGGGTTTCCGAAGAAAACGCAGCCTGATTTGTAACCACTACACTACCAGAGCTCCTACCTGATTTTCCAGTAAGGCATTCAAATACCATTATTTCATGCCTTAGAATGTCAGTAATGAAGCAATAATTAAAATGTAACCACATTTCTAGTATAATCAGTTCCTCCATTTCGTTGTCTAAATTTGGAGTGAATAGTTAAAAAAAAAAAAATTGTACACCAAGCCAATTCGCCTACTTGATGACCATCTTGTTTGAAGAATTGAGGACAGAGGGTGCAAACTGGAGAGGAATGTGTCAAAGTGAGCTTCTCAAATAGATGGCCTGAATTTGGGGAGGTGGAAGGTAAAGTTCTTAGAATGAAGGGCACGGATGTAGAAGTACTGCCTCTGCAAGGAACCAGCCAATCACTAAGACATGCCAAAAGAGTGGGTGGTAGGAATGAAAAGACTCAAATAACTAAAATAGCACATACAAGATTGCTTTACACAATTTGTTTAAGTGCTTTGAATTCAGTTACCTTCCCACTTGCTAGAAATGGTTTCAATATTAAATCTGTTTTCCTAGGTAATGAAGTTTAATCAGATGCAGTTGTCAACTAGTCAATTTCAACTAACAGCAACCCCATGTGCTTCAAAGGGTTTTCAAGATTGTAACCCTTTGGAAGCTGATCGCAATCCTGTATTCAGAAGTGCCTCTGAGTGACTTTGAACAGCCAACCTTCTGGCTAGTAGTTGAGTGCTTAACTATTTGTGTCACCCAGAGACCTAGCAGATACTAGCTACTTTTGGTGAAATAGTTTTGGATTGCCCTTTAAATATGAAACAGATGTTCCTGGCTTGTATTATTGGTAGCTGCATGCCGTTGAGTCAGTTCTCCATAAGGTTTTCACTACTTGGTTTTTCAGAGCTCATCAAGCATTTCTGCTGAGGTTCCTCTTGGTAGTTTTGAACCTCCAACCTTCTGGTTACCTGTTATCCATTTGCACCACCCAGAAAATCTGATGAACATAACCCTAATTTTAACCACCTCCACACCAATCATATCAACTACCATCTTAACGCTTACATCATGTTGCCACGTCTCTTCTTCACTCACCATCAGTTTATGTTAAGCAATTTTCTCCTACAATGTCTAGAAGAAACAAAAGTATGGGCTGTGGATTCAGGCACACCTGGCTGGAATCCTGGCTGTGGGATGACCTCAAAGTCACCATAAAATGATAATGTCTGAACTGCGGGTGGAGCGGGGTTGAAAAGAGACTCAATGCAAGCCTAACTCAGTCCAATGCCTAGTATTCAATAAACGTGTAACTTGTTTCCTGTGGATGAGTACAGCAGAATATTTTCAGAGCATTTTACTATTTCCCATAAGATCAGGACCATCCAAAGTACTAAGTTATGACAAGATGTCAACTCTCGTATTCCGCTTTTCAAGAGTCTTTTAAGCATTTAAATAGGGGCCGTGAAATCCAAAGAAATATGGAAATAGAAATAGAGTGAATGAATAACATGCAAAAACAAAGCCATAGCACTCAGAACTGCAATGGCTGCTTGGAAGCACCAAAGAATCACCACGGAAACATCTACGAAGAGACTTAACATAGGAATAAGCTATTTTAATCAAGCAAAAACAAATTTATAGCCATTATTTCTAAAAATAAAATTCGACTTTTCCAACCCTTCACATCTGCATTTAATAATATCTCCTAGCCAAAATACAGATGCTAAAACAGCAAATTACAATTTATCTTGTACAGCATACAGTATGTTCACTGTTGACACTTAACTTGAATTCTTGTTGGTCATTATGTACTCAATGCATACTTAAACATCACTCAGAATAAAATTTTCCACAATTAACAACAACAACAAAAATGTGACAAGGCTGTCTTAAAACGGCTTTGCTATAAATTGTATAGAATATACAGAATTACAAAGTCAAGTATTTTTTTTATCAAAATATACACCCCTCCCTGAAACTAACACAAGCTATCAACATTTTAAATGAATAATACAATTATAGAAAATATTTGAAAAATTATTTTTTTCATGTATAAATATTCTGCCATATTTACTTTGGTCTAGAATTATCAGCATACAAGTCCACTTAAAAAATATCCACATGTAAGGGCTGGGAGACATCACAACATGAAATCATTTTATATTTTGAGTTACCTCAAATCAAAATGGCCAAGATACACAGCAATTCTCCTTGATTCATAATCCTAATTCAGGTAAAACAAAGTGGGTTACAGGATTGGTTATTCAATATTTTAATTAACAATTCAAAAGTGATTTTCATAAGCCCTTTGTGACTCTCTTTAACAAAACCCAAATGAAAAGTGCAGGTGTACAAATATAAAACTCACTGCTGAAGAGTTGATTCCAACTCATATTGACTCATAGGATAGATTAGAACTGCCCCATGGCGTTTCCAAGGCTGTAAATCTTTACGGAAGCAGACCGCCACATCTTTCTCCCATGGAGCAGCTGATGGGTTTGAGCCACTAACTTTTCAGTTAGCTGCTGAGTGCTTAACCACTGTGCCACCAGTGCTCAATACATATATACAATGTATAAAATAAAGTTGAATTTGCTTGCATTTTCTCATTTTCCTCTACTATATAATACTGTCTGTAAGTCAAAGTAGTTGAAAAGATAAATGCAGATCCAGTATTGGGGTTACCTAACAGCAAAGTACTACAGTCAAAAAGATCAGCTCTGATCATGTCCTCTTCTGGGTGTTTAAGTGCGTTCTCATCCACCTAAATCCACACCAGGTCTTCTTCATGGAGACATCACAACTTGGATAGAGAAACGGGAGTCTTTTCAGCTACTTCTTCATAATGATTAGCCTTGCAACCTTGGAAGATCTTGGGTTTCCATCTATCAAATCCAATGAATATGAATGGCTTTAAACCAGGGTTCCAGAATCTGTACACACTGTTGATCAAAGGGTCGGGATGTTTTCTCTCCTTCCTATTCTGGCCGTTTAAAAAGCAACTCAAGTTCCAGTTTCCCAGGAGCCTCATCCACATGATGAAATATCGTGCAGGGCAATCAGGTTGTGAGGGCAACATTGATGGTGTGGGTCAGTGTAAAAGAACTTAAAACAAAAAAACTTAAGTGGCTTTTTAGCAATGGGGCTAGATGTCTGCAAATATGAAGACAAGGTTTCTGGCTTTGTGGGTATACTTCTGAGTCATATAAAGGGACAAAACCTTGTCACTCCATACCTTACTTTGCCATGCTCCCCAAACAAAGCTGTTTGAGGCAAGGAGGGTGGCTACTTCCTCCTGCCCATTCACGTTATTAAGGGTAGGGCCTTTCTCTGTTGTGTCTTTGCTCTATACTAACATGTTCTGTGGGCTGCACAATCTCTAGGAAGGCTTTCTGTCACTTCAAGTGTCTGGGGAATTCACCACCATAGATGTGACTTGTGCTAGAGATCCTGGAGCCTCCTTCAGTGGAATAGTAGATGTCAAGTTTCATTTGAACCTTCGGACTGGTAAAGTCATCTGGAATAGATCCCCACATCCATGGCCTTGTGATGACTGGAAGACTGCAGAAGAGTTTCAGTAGAGTTTGACCCTTTTTCATTCTCTGGGGTGAGGTCATTGCAAAGTAACACAGGGCACAGTTTTTCACAGCAACAATCTGGAAAGCCTCCCCTCAGAGAGATAAGGCATGGCCTATGTTTGCTGTGACTTGAGTAGACAAGTTCTAATAACAGTTCAGCCAGAACTTCAAGGGAACAGCATTCCATCTAAAAGCATACTCATGCTCTTAAGTCAGATTAAAAATGCTTTCTACTGATTTTACATCAGTCCTCATTCTTTGCAGATCTATTGCTCATCATTATAATTCACTACAGGGGATATGGACAGTTAACAGCAATAGTGATTTATATATGTATTTTACAAGATTTGTCTTGCAGAAAAGTAGTTCTACAGAATGTAAGACTGTCCTACTTTAATCATTTCACATATTATTTTCAGCTATATTATTAAGTATTCATATGCATCTCATTAAACACATTTTAATAGTGTAGAAGCTGGACGGGAATAAAGACTTTCATAACTCATTTACCTTTTAGCATATCTGTGAAGATGACATTTCTTGGTATCTGACTCTTGTTTTCTCCAGTGATTAAAGAAGAGTTCAGCAGCCAGTTCCTATTAGCACTTACTTAGAGTTTCAAATTAGGTAAAATTAAACTCTTTTATTCACTGGTAGAAATACCACAGCTAAGAACTTCATTAACTTTTACAAGATTATTTGGGGAGAGGCTTCAGCTATATGTTTTGTGTACTCTGCATAAAGTTAATGCTAAACCCAAAGTAGATATGAAAGTATCCTTTTGCTGGAATTTCCATAAATGATATATATGTGTGTTTGTGTGTATATATATATATATAAATATATATATATATATACACACATATATATATTTTTTTACTCCTTCATGACTGTTGCGTGAACAAAACAAAACTAAAAAATAAAACTTAAACAAAAAACAAAAAAACCACCAACTTTTATTTTTGAAGATTTCTCTATGACCACTCAAAGGACAACATTTTCAACACTGGCTGGTACATTATCCTTTTGGTCATTGTCTTCTGAATCCGTGAAGTGTGGATTCTCTAAGGGGTCTGAGTTTTCATGGCACATGTCACCTTCAAGTGTCTCCTGCTGACTTGGGCTTCTGAAGAAGTGTTTCTTTTGGTGCATTCCAAGGGCAGCAGCTGTTTTGCAGATTTTAGGGCACTGGAAGCAGGCGTACCCCTTCCCATCATGCTCCTGAACGTGCCTCTGCTCATGATTCCTTTTTGTGGAGAGATACAAAAAACTCTGGAAGCAGAACTGGCAGTGGTAACGCTTTTCACCAGTGTGGATTCTTTCGTGGATTTTGAGGGTTTCGTTCAGCGTGAATGCCTTGTTGCAATACTGGCAGATGAATTCCTTCAGGCCCAGGTGGATGCGCTCATGTTTCTGTAGATTCCCGTGCACTGAGAAGCAGCGCCCGCAGGTCTTGCACTGGTACGGCTTCTCTCCTGTATGACATCGCATGTGCATTTTGAGTGTAGAAGGGCTCTGGAACTGCTTGGCACAGAGCTCACAGGTGTAAGGCCTAGAAGTGAGATGTCGGTGGGGCCGGCCTTGACTCCCAGCTGCTGATCCTTTGTCTCCATCGCAGAGTTCACACTGCAGCTTGGGCATCTCCTTATTGTCATCCTCCTCAAAAGCCTTGTCCTGAGGGGCCTTCCCCACAGCACAATCCAGCTCTGCTGGGTATTTGCATTTATTGCTTGGGCTCCTGCTTCCATGCTCTTTTCTCCAGCTGGCTTTCCTCATTTTTCGAAACTGTCTGGATTTCTTTTTAGGCTTGTAGTTGTAGTAAGGGCGCCACGGCTTGTCAGTGGAATCCTGGTCACTGGCATCATCAAACATTTCGCTCATCTCCACACATTCTGACTGGCAAAGTCCAAGTGGGCTGTCCCCATTGGTTTCCGGGTCACTGTCCTGCGGCAAGCTCTCCTCCTGCGTTTGAAATTTGGATCTTCTCCCTCTTTTATAAAACAACTTGGAGCCTAGGATATGTCTTTTCACAATGGCCTCATTCCCAATTTTCACTGTTATTTGGCAAAGGGGCGCAACATTGCTATTTGTGGAGGTTCCAGGTAAAGCAGGTTTTGCAATGTAGGTTTCGATCTTATTGGTTTCTTCAACGATATTTGTGGCTTTGCTCAATGACCCACCAGGATCAGCAATGTATTTAGGCTCCTCTGGTAGGTCCCCCTTGTTATGTGGTACTGTTTTCTTTTTCTCTTTAATGCTTTTGGGTCTGCTTGCAACTCTACTCCCTTTATCTGGCTCGGGTTTGCTGTTGTCTTTCAGGGACTGGCTGGTTGCAGGCTCTGTGGTGGTGGCTCTGGTGTTAGTGTTGGTAATGGCAGCCACAGCATTGCTGTGCATTATTACCGATGAAAACTGACTACTGTGCACAATGACCGACGGGGCGGAGCCACTGTAGCTGATCACAGAGGCCGAGTTCTCACTGTCATTACTCAAAGGCAAGACAGGCACATCTTCTGCCCGGAGGTCAGAACTGATTGCATTTTCAGTGGCGGAACCAGATACCTCCGTTGAATAGAAGTTACTGTCAAGATCACTTCTCAATGCCTCTTCTCCCCCCCATTTGGTGCCCTCTGCATTTTGTATGTTGGTGGAAGGTGGTATGTCCTGACAAGCAGATGCTTCCATTGGGATGGCTGGACTGTTTGTCAAGGTGTTTACACTATCTTGGAAATTCAGTGTAGGTAATTCAGAGCCATGTGGGTTTTGAATTACATAGGTACCAGGGACCGACTCATTCACTTGACTGTTTTCTTGAGTGTTTTCATAGGAAGAGTGCCTGTAGCTCTTATAAGGAGCTCTCTTGCACTTCATAGGCAGTAATCTATAAAGTTTATATGGATAGACACTAGGCTTCAAGCCTCCATTTGCTGTTTTCTTACTGATGGAAAGCCTGTGATCTATGGCATGAAAAGACTTCTGATGGTTTTTGAGTATATAGTAGGTCATGAAAGTTTCAAGGCAGAAAATGCACTGATACCGTCTCTCCCCGGTATGCCAAATTTCATGTCTTGTCCTATACTCAGCCAATGCAAATACTTTGTTGCAATAATGGCAAGGATATGTTCTTCTCCACGAGTGAACGTTTGCATGTCTGCGGAGGCTGGATAAAGTCACGTAACTACGTTTGCACACCACGCAACTGTAGAGCATTTGTCCATTAACAAATTTAACCATGTGGTCCATTTCTGGCAAGGAACTTCCAGGACTGGAAAAGTCACCCACCCTGTTTTCAGATACTAAAGGTTCTGGGCTTGTGAGGGGAGCTCCATTTTGTCCAATGGTGGGATAGTTTTCTAAAAAGTGTTGGTTTCCTCCAGGGACAGGCATGTGGTTTGACCTCATACAGATCTGCTCATGCCGATCCAGTCTGTTGAGAGTGGTGAATTGTTTGTTGCAGTACTTGCACACCAAAGGCTCCTGTGTTGGCTTGTGAAGTTGCATATGGGTGCTGAGTAAAGCGCTACTGTCAAACGATTTGGAGCAACAGCTACAATTGTAAACAAGAGGTGGAACCTCCGCTAGCGGCGGCCCAGGAACGTCTGAGGATTGATTTTCATCTTCCCTGGGAAAATGGGCATCTCCTGTGTTGTTGGGAGATTTTGAGTGAGAAAGAACTGCAGCTGGCTGTGGACTTCTTTCTGGATTAACCTCTAAATTGGTCACTGGAGGGGGTGGTGTATTTTCTGTAGTTGAATCAGTATCCTGGGGTATGGAGACTGTCTTTGGCTTGCGGCACGGTTTCGACTTTGCTGCCAGAGCATTGTCATTTTCTTTGCCTGTTCTGCACGGTGAACTGCTATCCCGTTCACACGCAGGAGGCTGACTTCTGTATGCTTCAGCCATGGAGGAAACCGCATAGGAGTGCTCTGCTAGTGTGCGGACGGGCTCCGCCTCATGGCAGATGTCGGTCCTCTCTAGGCAGAGACCACCTGCTCTCATGGAGTCGGAGACCTTTTTGAAACTTGCCCTTAAGTCCAGGGGAGAAAACATGTTATTACTATTTTCTGTTTCGATGATGGAAAATGCATTTGTGATCCGTGGCCCACTGGTGATGGCTGGCTCTTCATTCCTTCTGTCATTCTTTTCTTCTTTCACCACTCCCTTCTCGGTAATGCAGAATACATAGGGGCCCGGGGAATTTGAGAAGTTGCGATTGGTAAGATCTTCCAGGAATGATATTCCCAGTTTTTTCCCCGCAGCTGCAAGGTCAGTGACCGTTTCCTGTCTTTTGACGACGACCGTGGAACTGTAGATATAATTAAGTATTTCTGTAAACACTTCAGCTTTGAGGTCATCCAGTTCCAGGACATGGCTGGAAATACAGATGGTATGGCTCCAAAATATATTTTTGAAATAAAGGCTTGACGCAGCCAGAACATTGCTGTGAGCCTTGAATTTGGTGTCTTCCACAATGATGGTGACGTCACATAAAATGCCCCGGATGCGCTGCTCGTTTAAGATGGAGAGCACCGTGTCACTGTGGAAGTCGTCCTTGAGGTCCCTGGAAAGGGACATGACTGTCATCTGAAACAAGAGGAAGAGAAATGGTTAGAGGCCCTTCCACAAGCAGCTCCTTTACTTATAGACCATTTTCAATGAACTCTCCTTCCAAAAACTTTTTTTTTTTTAATTATGGAAATACAGGTTTTTCTCATTCTGCTGTTATTCCCAGGACTAGGAAAAACTAAATCTTTTTCTCACTGCCACCTGTTTCTCACACTACTGATAATACTGGATTAGGTTGAAAATCCCCCCAGTACTCTTTCCCTTTATTTCTGCAAAGTTATAGCTATATACAACTATGTTGTGTTGTTGTGAAGTGTCATCAAGTTGGTTCCAACTCACAACAACCCTGCATAGGGTTTCCAAGGAGCAGCTGATGTGTTTGAACTGCTGACCTTGTGGTTTGCAGTCCAGTGCTGATCCTACAATGCCATACCAGGAGTCTATATATATACAAGTATACCTCTGCAAATTTGGTTGAAAGAGTTTCCCCTCAAATGTCAAGGGTCTCATCGTCACTCAGAGCTGCTGTACTAGACCTCTTGGAGCTAGGCAACGTCCTGCCACAAATCTCCTATCTCATTTCATGAAATAGGAAATGCTTCCTTTGAAAAGCATGTTTTCTCTAAGAAGGTCATACCGGTATGTAAGGGTGCCACCTGCTCAAAGACGACGAAAACCTAGAAGAGTCTTTCCTTATCAGTGGCTCTGAAGGGTCCTACTCTACCCTGGGCTCTCTAGGTCTCTGAGTGGTCAGCCTGTGGAAATTCTGCCTCCTCTGTGCTACTGAGAACCCACACCATTTCTTTTCTGGTTTCTTCTTCACTACAAAGTAGGAATCCTGGTGTGGCACTATACAATAAGCACTGGGCTGCTAACCACAAAGTCAGTGGTTCAAACCCACAGCTACTCTTTGACTACACTGAACAACAATAGGCAAAGTAGGTTTTCCCAAGGTCACTGAGTCAATGCTGACTCACAGTGACTCTGTATAGAGTTTCCAAGACCGTAGAGACCAGCAAGTCCTCTCGTTCTCCCAAGGAACAGTTGGTGGGTTTGACCTGCAAACTTTGCAGTTAGCAGGTCAGTGTTTATTCTAAAGTGCCAGCAGGGCTACTTGCAAAGTAGATGATAGACTTTAAAGAAAGGAGCTCTGTAAGGTTGTTGTTTTTATGTGCCGTCGAGCAGGTTCGGACCCACAGTGACCCTGTATAGGGTTTCTGAGGCTGTAAATCTTTATGGGAACAGAAAGCCTAATCTTTCTCCTGAGGAACAGCTGGTGGTTTCAAACTGCTGACTGTGAGATTAGCAGCCCAATTCGTTACCACTATGCTACCAGAGCTCCTTCTGTGAGGTACTGAAGGCAAACAAAAAGAAATGGAATGTGGAACCAGGAAGTATGTTTCTGAATGTATAATATGGAATTTAGTCAGATTCCTAAATTAGCACAAATTAAAGCCAAAATGGCTCTTGTTCTGGTCTGAAAATTTCTTCTCTGCTCCTCCCAGACCCCAGTTCCTATCACTCTCTTTGGACAAACACTGTTCTACACCACGGGCCTGGGATTGCACAGCCTCCAACTGATCTCCTGAGGATCATCAAAAGCAACAGTTGTTATGCTTACAGTAAGAAGTACATGGTACTTAGTGACCAAAGACACAAAGGAAATTAATGCCTACTTTCATTATGTGATTCATTCTATTTCATTTAAAGGAATGACAATAGTAACTTGCAAAACTAATTTCATTATCCACTCAGAGATCACTCTGGCATATAAAAACACAATAAAAAGCGAACATAGATCTAAGGGGTATGTTGTTGTTGTTAAGTGTCATTGAGTAAGTTCTGACACACAGTAACCCTGTACAAGATTTCTGAGGAGCGGCTGGTGAACTTGAACCACTGGCCTTACGCTTCAAACTGACCTTGCAGTCCAGCACATTCACCCACAGTGCCACATCAGGACTCCAGGTGTAACCCTCATTTACTACCCAATTGTTCATCCAGTCTCTGTGCTATCCGGTACTAATGAAGTCTTCAGACAGCCAAATTATCTTGGTATTTCTTGAATGCTCAGTGACAATGACTTCTTAGCACTAAGTGTATAACCTTTAGCTTGTGACGTTTATTCAGGTTGGTCACACAAAGAACCTCTCTTTACCATTTGTGAGGCTATAGTTATAAGCTGTGTTTACATTGTTCACCATCTTTATACAGTTGACCCTTGAACAATGTGGGGTTAAGGGCTCAGACATATCACATAGTCAAAACCCCTCATATATACAGTTGACTCTTGAAACAACATGGGTTTGAACTACACAGACCTGCTTATTAATGTCATGTGACACTACTCATCCCCTGATGAGTATCATCTCTCCAATCAGTGTCACATGACGTTTTAAAGGAGTACTTGTACACTTGAGCTCACAGCAAAACAACAGGAAAACCAAAGCTGTGTTATCAGTGGATTCTTGTAGTTCAAACCCATGTTGGACAAGGTTCCATTTGATAAATTCTTTTACTGCATTCAGCCATAGGCAAAAAATACATTTCTGCTAGCCAACTCTTCTATTCAGATAATGAGAACAATGTATTCAACATGTTTGTCTCTTAATTTGCATGACAAGGAAGCTCAAAACTAAGTTTTATCATCAACTGTTATAGCCATTCTTAGCCTGAGTTTCTAGTGTTCCCACTGCCTCACTTTCCTAACATCAGCTCTTCTACTAGCCTTTAATTGTAAAGGTCCATACATCTTTTCTAGTGTGGGTGATAAAATCTACAGGCAATAGCAGGATTCAGTGAAGCCAGGTCCATGTTGGCTTCTTCTCTTCCCCTAAGAGGAGGAAGGATCACCCTGAGCACACCAGGAATCTGTCCTTCATGGTTAGAGATCAACATCATAATTTACTGATGCTTCTTTTGCTTTCCTTGAGGCCTCTCTGTTCTGGGCCCTATAGGATCTATTTTTTCCCTGATTCATATACATCCTTATCCTGTTTGTCTTCTCTGAAGTCCATATATGAAGCCAAAAAAAATTACAGCCAAAAAAATTATAGTAAAGTGAAATTTAGAGACTTTTGGAAACCCCCTTGTATTATTTCAATTCACCACCTAATATGACTGGATAAACCCAGATCTGGCATGCTACATACCTCAAAAAGGTAGCCTCCCTCTTGCCTTGCTTCTATACTAACTTCAGTTACTTTGTCCTTCTGCTTCAAAACTAGTGCTTCACAGCACTTGGTACCTCCCACTTGACTCCAGTTCCATTTGGTGAAGACAATATTTCAGCTTGTTTTTGAAGCTGTGACCAATAAACACTCTAGAGTGTCCTGGCACAGATGATAAACTTAATTTTGTGGTATTCTTCCATGCTACCATCAGACTGTTCACTTAGGATGGTTAGCAATGGTAACTGTTAAAAAACTTAATATACTAGTCATACTTAACAGAATAATGCATATACAATTACAAGGATCATCACGTATGTCATTAAAACATCTTTGGAAATGCCACATGTAACCTCTTTCAGGGGAGCATCTGCCTTTGTGTGACAGAAAACCTTTTCTAAAATCACAGTTACTTCACTGCTGTGTAGCACCTTGATCTGCTTCCTTGAGACACACATACACGCACAAACCAAATACCCAAACCCAAGTCAGACATGGTGCTTGGTGCCAGAGATATGGAGGTGAACAAGGCAGGTCTCCGGCCTCATGGAGCTCAGAGATGAACAAGAATTGGAATCCTCGATGGTAGGCCTTATACTAAAGGTGTGTACAAAGTGTTAGAAGATGAAGTGACACATGTACTTTTACAGGGTCACTGGAATGCTTAGCATCAATGAAAAAATAGGTCTATGGGGAGAGCATTCTAAACAAAAGGAATGCTACAGGCAAAGCAAATAAAACCAATGATAGGAGGCATCCTGCGCTCCAGACTGATGAGTGGCTCTGTGTGATGGCAGGAGAGGTTTGTGCCTGGCTCCATCCCAGGCTTTACAGCAGTGGCCGGCCCATGGCAGGTACCCAGACCACATCTGCTGATTTCGGTGGGCTCTAAAATACTCCCCACCATAAGTACAGGTAATACGGTATCACTGGGAGTCATAAACAGATTTGAGGTTAAAGGAAAAGAACAAAAAGTGCTCAGGCTGCACTCTGATGAAAGGATCAACAGTACAGAGGCCAACCTGAGGCAAGAAGCCAACTAGTAGGCCATCCTAGGGGCCCTGGTGAGAAGTATCCCATCCACATAGAGGGGAGAGCCTTGGAAAGCCTGATGGCCACCAGCTAATAAAGCAGGATTCGGCAGGGTGGGAAGAGGGGCTATATTTAACTCAAAATTAATTTTAATTTCCTGAACAGGATACCTTTAACATTTTCATTTATTTTGTTGCTGCTGTTGGAAATACATACAGAAAGCATACACCAACTCACTGATGCACAATGGTATGTGCACAATTCCTTGACACTGACTACATTCTTCAAGTTGCATAACCATTCCTCTCTTCCTTTTCTGAGTTCTTTCTCATTAACATAACCTCACTGTCCCCTAGGTTCTTAGCTCATCTCATCCTTTCGAGTTGCTGTTGGCTCTCTGGTCCCATGTAGGTAGTTCTTGAAAGAACTCATGTTCAAGGCAGAGCTTTTTTTCTGTTTTGTTTTTTTTAACTGGTTAAGCTTAAATTACTGTCTTACTTTAAGACGACTTCAGGGATAGTTTGGTGTGAGACTTAATGCAACAGTTCTAGGGGTTCATCTAGCCTCCATGACTACAGAAAGGTTGTTGGTGGTTATGTGCTGTGGAGTCAGTTCCAACTCACAGCGACCCTGTACAGGGTTTCCAAGGCTGTCAATCTTTACGGGAGTCTCATCTTTCTCCCGCAGAGTCCTTGAATATTTGAAATTCTGTTCTGTATGTTCCCTTTTGATTCTTCTATAGATTCTCTGATCAAAATGTCCTGAACAAATATTTATTATAAACCTGCTACATGCAAGGCATCAAGCTAAGTGCTA